CAGAATTGCCAGGGTTGGAAGGGACCTCAAGGATCATGAATCTCCAACCCCCCTGCCACAAGCAGGGCCACAAACCATCCCACCTAATGCTAGACCAGGCTGCCCAGGGCCCCATCCAATCTGCCCTTGAACACCTCCAGGGACGGGGCATCCACAACCTCTCTGGGCAGCACAGGAAGGGATTGGAGCTGGGACAGCGAGGAAGTGAGCAGAGGAGCTCAGCGTGCTCTGCTGCCCGGTTGGCTCTGTGTAACACAGCGCAGCTGGGACTGCGTTTCTCCCTCTGGGTCACGGCAGACACGAGGTGACCTCGCTCCGCAGCTCTGCACGCATGGATTGATGTAAGCTTTCAACTCCCCGATGCCTCCTTTTGAGTGCGTGAACGTGAAGCCTCCAAGGGGGGAATTTCCACTTCCCTCGCCCTCCCCGGCACCCCGCAGTTTCCCTTCGGGGACGCAGCAGCAACACCTGCCTCTAGCGGCCCTTCCAGCGTTCCCTTTTGTGCGCTTGGCGCCGGGCTGATGGCTCACCTGGGGTCGTGCAAACTCCTCCCGAGGCTTCTGTTCGGGCTGTCCCGGCAGCTGCAGATGCCTTTAGCGCTCAGCTCCGGCACTGGGCTGTGTAACGGACGCTGAAAAGCTGGCAGCCTGTGGGCTGACTGGAGCACAGGTGGAGAACGCGGCCGAACAGCAGGTCAGCAAAGCGCAGCCCAGGCTGCGTTGTGCAAAGGGCGCCCGCTGCTGAGAACGGGCCCTGGAAGGGAGCGCAGGGTGCGTGCTGAGCTGAGTGGGGAGCAGCGCCGCCTGGTGGGGGAGGAGGGAAATGCAGCCGCCGAGGCATTCTGGGTGCGGATGGCTGCAGCTGGCACGCGTCCAGCGAGCGCCTTCGGGCCCCGTGCTGTCAGGTGGGCAGAGGGCTGAAATACTGACGGCAGGAAGTTCAGCTCCGCCCAGCGGGGAGAAGAGCTGCGAAGGCGAGGGGAGGAACTTTTGCGAGGTGTTTGTGTCCCTGTCTGGCTGGCAGCTGGGGCTGGCAGCAGCTGTGCTGCGCGTTTCAGTTCTAAGAGAGCAGGAGGAATGTATTTATTGATGTAATG